TTAATCCTTTTAAGATCTTCATCATTTATGTAACAACTTTATCCATTTCGTCTTTCTCATACTAGGTATCTACCAACATGTTGGGACAGACTTAAGCGGTCATGTCAACTTTCCTTGAGCGTTGCACTAAGAAACTCTAATTGACTTTTTCAATAATATGGCTTTGCCAAGATTGATCTACTTTGGAGAAAGAGTAAGCAAGACGATAACTATTATTATCATTCATCGTGACATAGAAATATAAAACAAATATGTCATCATTCATAGTTACTGGACTATTTTAGGGTTTTTTAAAACCACGTTTTCATCTCAATGCTTCAAAGAAATTAGGAACTTAGAACTTGCAATGAAAAGAAATCAAACAAATAAACATATCCACGTGCACTCCTCAATTAGATAATCATACAAAGGATAAGTGTTGCTGAAGAAAAATAGATGCTGCATTTCTCAATAACCATATAGAACAGTATAATCCAATGTCTTAACTATCAAAATGTAGTATACAGGTGAGAATTGAGAAAGGAAAAATTGAAAAATCTCACCAACTCTATTGAACTATTACTAAGGTTCTTATAGCAACAACTACATGTTTCTAAGGGGCAAAAGAACATGTGAGGCATGAATGAACTGAAGCCTCGAAAAATATAAATAAAACAAAAAACCCTGCAACTAGCACATTTCAAAACCGTCAGCACCAACATTTACTAACTTTCTTTTCTCATTTTTTGGCCGCATTTGTTATTTACACTTCAGATCAGGCCAATGTCATTCTTCGTGGATTTGAGCACATCCAATATTGCATTTGAATATTATGGTATCAAGAAAATGCGTTCCATCCTAAAAATTAGAATTCCAATTGATCTGTGCAGGTGGAGGCTGCTGATAAGATCCAGGAGGAGGGCCTACATTTTCAACAGGCCCAGCAACAGCTTGGGACTGCTGCAGGAGGGTAGAAGGTGAAGCTACTGTCTGCCCTGGTTGATAGATACCAGGAAATGCTCCAGGAGCCGCCTGTGTCTGGGGGAAGGTGAGATGTTGTCCCTGGTGGGCAAGGTTATATAGAGAATTAAGTTGCAAACTGGATATATCTTGGCCTGGTGCATGTATCCACACAGTAGAACCTTCACTCTGCAGCAAAAAAAGAAAAAAAGAGAAAACAAACAAGTTTAGTAACTACAGAAAATCCAAGTATTTCAATAATATTTGATACTGTTGAAGCCAAAGAGCCCCCATAGCACTGTAATTATGCAACATTATTTTATTTATTTTATAAAGAAATAGGCACGGATGGGAAAGAAAATAAAACACAGCAATGAGTAAAACCAACCAGTTGTCCAGTTGTATATATCTGGTTTTCTTTCAACTGAGACACTGCGAGATTTTCATTACCAGCAGAGCTTCCAGTATTCACTGTCGGAGTAGGAGCATACCCAACAGGTGGAGACATTAATGATCCCGAAGGAATTCCGATATGAGACATATTTCCTGTGTTTGCTGCAGCCTTGAATTGTGGTAGAGGGAATTTGACTCCAGCAGCTGCAGTGGCGGTTGGTAGATACATATTGCCAGCTGATGGCTGTTGAGGGAAACCATTGTGGCTTAAAAATTGATGCATCGGAGACAAGTAAATTGGGGGGTAATAAGGGCCATATGGGAAGAAGTTAGCTGGGTATGGTGGCCTAAAATAAGAAACTGCCTGCGGAGACACAGGTATATTACTCTGTAGAGGTGGGGTTGGGCTGGGGGACACTGCCTGAGAACTTGCAGTCTGCAATGTTAAAAGAATGGCAGAGATATTAGAGGAAATAAATGTCTATAACACAAATAAATGCATTCCTAATTACATATAAGGAAATCAAATAAACCAAAAACGTAAAATTTTCTTCGAAAGAAAACAAATATGAGAAGATAAACTTAAGTTTGTGTTTGAAACAATAGAACCAATTGGTTTCTAATATTAAGTTTATTATTTGTAATTCAATTTTCTTAGAGCTTCCATACTCTGTAAAAAATTGACATTCCTTTTCATTGATAACAAAACAAAATGCAAAGATAAACTTAATTTTATTCTTTGCAAGAAATTTGATTTCCTTGCATTCTTTTTCATTGACCAGTTGGCACTATTAAATGCCTTTTCATTGACCGGTAGCTAACTTTATGTCTAAATTTCTACATAAGAAAACAAAATGCAAAAATAAACCTAGTTTGTATTTGAAATGTAAGCATGGAGTTAGCTAGACATGGTCAAAGATGTGTAGTTTAGACATGCATGACACATTCCAAGCCTGTCAAAAATTAAAATACGGAATAATAGAACTGAACCTGCAAAGAATATCAATGGCAATGTTTATACTTAATTTCAGAATATAGAATGACGCCCTTTCTTTTCAAGATACTATCATTTTGTTGCTGAGTTTCCAATCATACAATTTCAGGAAATCAACTCAGAGCAAATAGCTTTTAGCATAAAGAAAAACAGAGATTTAATATTTAAAAAGTTACAAATGTTAAACAAATTAATTTGAGAGAAAAGTTAAGAACATCTCCAACCTTATGATACAAGCCAATATACCAGAACACCAAACCAAAAAGATAGTACTAAAAAACATAAGGAAATATAATTTCAATAAATATAAAGTAAATGAAAATCTTAAGAAATAATGCAGGACGGAGGAACTTACAACAAATGAAGGTAAGTGTGATGTTTCTTGGGCCTGAAGCTCACTACCGTCAAATTGAATTTGCTGAGTCCCTAACATGGTAGACATTAAATTCAAACCATAGTTTTGAGCACTTTGAACAGTCAGAATCGGATGGCCCTCGGGAGTTAACAATACCTCCTGCTTTGGCTGCACAATCTTTGAATCATCATCAGCTATAGAAATGCCTTCTGAAGCCAGTGTCGTTTTAACTAGATAAGATGAAGAATGTGCATAATCAACATGACCTCCATGTTCAGTCAATGGCGCACTTTGATTGTGTTCAGTCAATGGCGCACTTTGATTGTGTTCAGTCAATGGCGCACTTTGGTTGCTATATCAAAACAAGAAATACCATCAAAACATAGATTACAGTACCTCAGCCAACAAGAAATACCATTTTGGTAATAGGAAGATCAATCAATTAACGCAATGAAAATAATCCATTTAAGGAACAATAACCTTGACTGAGTCTTGAAAGAGGTAAAATACTACAACCTAACAGAACCTATACACCTTTATAACACCCACTTTGAGGTTTATTATAGTTATTCTTGGGGTTTGTTCGGGAATCGGAAAGGGAGGGCATGGATTGAGGGGAAAGAGAGATGAAAATGGAAGGGGAGGGAGAATAGTTAAACCTTGCATGGGGGATAAATTTTCTCCATGGAATTAAAACCCCTAACTTGGGGTAACTAAAAAAATGAATTCCGGGGGTAACTAAAAAAATGAATTCCGGGAGACTTTGGAGGGTTATGGAGAGAGCAATAAAAAGCAAACCATTTCCTTTTTTTACAATACTCTCAAACAACCAAACAAAAAAAAACATTCGCCATAAACTTTTCACACCACTCTCCTCCCAAAAACTCGCCAGTACAAACACTGACCTCCCTTCCCCCTTCCCTTCCCATCAAGCCCCGCTCCTCTCTACTCTCAAACAACCCTCAATGAAGAGGATTAATGTATGATAACAAATCTAAGTAAACCAAACTATCATTTTTATACCATTTTAAAGGTATGAGAGGGAAAGAAAAAAATATGATAGATCTTTAATTTGCTATGCCAAAAAAAAAAGCACATAGAAATCCTATAAACTACAAACCTAGAAGTAACAGATTCATCATTCCCTGGAGAAGTTTCAGGAGTGGGAGAAGTGCTATTGTCACAACCAGTTACACTATAAGATCTTTCACTTGGAGCAAAAGTATCAAAGCTTCCAAATGTCAGACCGCTTTTAAAAGCCTCGGGCACTTGGAAATGGTTTGGAAAAGTAACATGTTGCCTCAACTCAGTTGATTGCACATGAGCTTCTGAAGCTGAGACTTCTGTGACATTGGCTGTCTTAGAAACATCTGCAAACACGCCGAAAGGGCATTATTATAAGTATAAGAGTATTCAATTAGAGAAACAACAAAAATAATTGAGCACATTAAATCAGTATGATTCGGGATTTTATCAATATGATTCCTTAAAATGCGGGATTATTTCAGCACATAAATCTGAGAGTTAACTGATTGGAGAAAAATCCAAAAACACGGGTGACAGTTAATGTTTAAATTATAATATTGGAACAACCAGGCTGATTTGCCCTTAAAATATCTTCAGAAAAGATTTCAAGGGTTTCTCCCCCATCTTTTTTCTAGACCGTGTAGGATTTATTTCAGTTCAGTTAATTGCTTGAGGGTTAATACTTTCCTCCGGTACTAAGGAAAACCATGACAGTATCCATCTAGTAAAATTGTTTGGATTAAAAAATTCAAGGTTACAACCTATACCAGAAAGTGTGTAGATGGAGACAGGATGTCAAACAATTTTGCTATAAGATTTAACGAATATAGAATAAGAACTTTACCTTGAGGTGATCTCAAAGAGCTATTCAATGATAAAGTGGATGAGAGATGCAAGGGCTCAGATAACTGGTTGCTTTCAACTTCATTTGACTTCTGTATGGCACTTGGGTTGCTTGTTGAATTCATTGACCTGGACTTTTCATTCTTAGATGCTGATAATTCACCGGCTTCTTCAAGTTTATTTCCTTCAACATGACTTGGCCCAGCAGATATCCAGTCATTCCCTACTTCCCTACTGATGGCACCACCAACACCAGGATTCTGGGCGATAGATGGGGCCGGCACAGAATCTGAAGAGGAATAAACACCAGATACAGAAATTTGATGTTGATCAGAACTTGATAGAGATTTTCCGTGGTCAGAACTTGATGATTTTCCTTGGTCAGTTTGTGTAATTGAGCCGACGGTTTCATTAGGCGAAACGGTTGCTGCAACAGCTACAGCAGCTTGAGGTTGGATATTTTCTTGATTGACAGTGTCATTAGCAGCTAAACTTGTTTTAGGGACACTCACAACACTGCCTTTGAGAGATTGGCTAGAAGAACCATGACCAGACTTCCCATTGGATGGATTTACAGCACTTTGGGGTGCAACAGCCGAAACTCTGCAATTGAAGAATCATGAGATATTATCAATTTGCTCATGCAAGCTGCTTTTCAAATAAGCTCCTAGCAAATCAAAAATCAAGTATAAAATTGCTTCAATATATTGTAGTTATAACACATTGAGTTATGAAATAATAAAGAGTGCTAATGTTGAGTTTGGTAAAAGGCGCACCCAATACAATGTTTTTTTACCAAAATCAATACAAGTTTTGGTTATAATTTTAGATGCAAACAAACAAAACACGATAGGGATATCAATTATCACCGTACTTTTTTTCTTTAGTTCATTTACTTCTTTCGTTGTATTGCCTTTCTTTTAGCAATAAACAAGAAACTAATAAATCTTTTCTTTCCACTATTACATTTTCTTATCATCAGAGATAAAATATTTAAAAAAAACAAGGTAAAAAATATATAGAACTTACAACCTTGAGGCTTGAGGTGGTGTATTAGTTATTTTCTGTAAATCTGACTGTGTAGAGGAAACATTAGTTCTCTCTGCAATATGATGGACTCCATTTTCTCTTCGATTAGCAAAGTTCCTCCCGCCACCACCATCTAAAAGAGATTTTGCAAGGAAATGTCACAAATAATATGAGCTAATAAAGTAGCAGGAAATTTTATGATGCATAGGACAGATCTCTGTGCAATGCAAAAGATAATTGTAGTAGCACCATAAAAAATTAAAAAAATTAAAATAAAATAAAAAAAGAGGGACAGAGTGCTACTCTATTTCATCCTGGTTGATTAAAAAAGGGGTATAATAGAGCTCATTCAAAACAAAACAGAAGTATAATTTGCAGGGCTTAGGTAAAATATCTCATAAATTGCTTTAGAGGGAAAGAACAACCTAGTGGTACAAGATCATTAAAAAAAAACACAACTAACTAGTGTTGCATTCCAAAAGTATTTTACAGACAGATTGTTTCTAGATGACCTTAAGTGGGAAAGGATCTTCATAAACGAAACAGAGGAAAACAAAATCAAATCCAAATACCAAGCCTTTAAAAAAAGCATGAAAATTGTACCAAAAAAGTTTGAGGAATAGCCCCCTGAAGCTCCCCTGGCCCCCCTCCCCTGTCCGCGTTGCCTTGATCTAGACTCCTCAGAAACCCTGCTGCTTGATCCCTACAATGGTCAAGTTATAAACAACCAATCAACTTTAAAATGTTAGAAAAATTATGGTAACAACTAGACTTGTGCAATCACAAAAACACACGTGAAATGTATAAATCACCCGTATAAAACCTACTGCAAAACCCAAAACAGGTCTTTTGCAGTTTGCAAGCGACATTGTACGATTACACAATGCACCCTAATTCGCAGAAATCAAATACCTATTGCAACCACGCATATTCAGACAGTCAAGGAAAATGAGAACTTTTATATAAACTTAAACATAGTCTCCGAATCACTCTGCTCATAATATGACACAATGGCAGCTCAAGTGAGCTCATGATACAACAAGAGGTTAGCCAGCAGGTTACAACAATGAACAAAATAGCTAAAATTCGATTAAGGGTTAAACAACTAAAAGATTCATCCACTCCAACTGATCTACTCATTAACACATAAAAATGGATACCTGACTTTATTATTTGGGTAAAAAAATCAATCAGATTCAGCAACCTAACTTTTGAATGCAATTACAAATCTACACACCAACCACATTATATTGCAAAGCAAGTAATAGTAAAACAGAATTACACTAAATAAGAAGGCAAAGAAACAAAATCTTACTTCTTTCTTTCGGTCACGCCTCCTTCTTACCTCATGAAAAGTATCTGTCACCAAAAAATCAATAATTCAACAAACACATTAAATTAACAAACAGAGAAAAATAAACTCAAAATATCTCAGATGCCTTAAACACGTTTCTTTCACGAAATTATAAATGAGCATTCAGGGTTTTGAAACAGGTCGGCGAACACGAAATTATGTTAAAGGCTTTCGCAACCGCAACCATTTATTAAAACCCTGTGAGTATGTGGCACATAATGCTTCAATTCAGCCATTATTTGAGAAACATGTGCAACAATAACAACTAAACCCTACAAAGGATAGTGAAGTAAAGTTTCAAACTTGCAACAAATACATGTTGAATTAGTGAATAACAAAAGCAATACTGAAAAATCGAAGAGTATTGGAAGGAGAAGAGAAACCTAGATAGAGAAGCTTCTGAGCGGTCTCATTGGGATCCATGGAGCATTCTTTAAGGACGGCGTAGATTTCATCGTCGGTGTGCTGTTTTCCGGTGATCTCTCTGATATCATTGATGGTAATCCGTACATTGTTGGGGATCGGAACCCTAGACCCGCCACCACCGCCGCTCATTCTTTCTATGAAACACGAGAGAGAGGGAGGGACACTACTGCCTCTGTGTTTTTACAAGAGAGAGAAAACATTCACGTTCGGTATATACCCGTATCATATCATAAATCTCAAATATACAACTAAATTATTTATTTTATATATATTTATATTTTATACTTTTAATTGAAATTAGGGTTGCATTTTTTTTGTCGGTTTTAAAATCGGCTTAGTTCGGCTTGTCGGACTGGTTTGAACCGAGAATTAAAAAGTAATTGATTTGAACTAATTATTGGGTCATTCGTATAGTCAAATTTGTGAAACTTTTTGATGTAGAGAGGTTGGTTGCGCGTATCAAAAAGAAAGTCGCGCATTGGATGGTTCCACGGAAATTATGTAAGTTTGGTGTTTGATGTCAGAATAAATATTATTATATGTTTATTGATAGGGAATCGGCTCACGTGTCCAGCTCGTAGCTTCGCTGTGATTTATGGGCTTTTTAAATCATCTAAGTTTGTTTTATGGACAATTTTAACATCTTACTATTTTTCGCAGTTTGTTTTATTTATTGCACTCTATTTTGGACTAAGACCTATTAGGCTTTCTTTGTTTTTTTGTATTTAAAGATCTTTGGCATGGCCGTAAGTACCTTACTTTCTAACTCGACAATTAAATAATAAAACGTGTATAAAGCAGAATTATTCACGAAGTAGAATATTACTCGCACAGTGCAAACCATCAAAATTCTTTGAAACCACGTAATAATGAAAAACAACTCGTTTAATAAGCAGCAGAAATACAAAAATATTTGGCATAAAAGCCTTATCAACATTATTAGTTTGAAAAATAGTTCATCCCAAAATAAAACAAAACAAAACAAATATACGACAGTTTGATCCCCTTGTGTTATGTATCAGAGTCACTCCAATTATAGACTCGAACGATAAGCAACTAAAGAGGCGCAACATTGTCCTCAAGCTTAGGGATGTTCATGGAAGATTAATTTTCATAACTAAAAATAATTTATATGTTATAATCGGTTATTAAAACCAATTGTAATAACTGGTTTTCATTTTTATAAAATGGTTATAAACCAATTATTAATCGGTTATATCCATAATCAGCTTTATAATTAGTTTTTATTCAAGTTTATTTTAAAATCATTTTTTAAAGAATTTTTATTTAAAAAATATTTTTGTTTATTTGAAGAAAAAATATTTACGTTAATAAATAAAAAATTAATTAATTTTTGGGAAAAGTATATTTTTATTTAAAAAATTCTTTTTTTATTTTATAAAAAAATAATTTTTAAAACAATTTTTTTTCAAAAAAAATCATAAAAATTAATTTTTTTTTTATAAAAACAATTGATTAATTTGATTTTTATATTGGATATGGACGTCCAAATTATGGATTTGGTTAAAACCATATTATAACATATCCAAAATATGGACTTGGTTAAAATCATATTAATAATTAATTGGTACCTGATTATTTGTACTGTAGGGGAGCACAGACAAAACAACACAAAAAAAAAGGTGAGAATACATTCAAATGATAAATGGTGCATAAACATTCAAGATAGATTCACACATCTACACAATCATCCACATAATCAAAAAACACAACAATGTTGAAGCGTAAAGCAGCAAGCAAAAATTAATTTAGTACCCAGTTTTGTCGTCTCCATAGAAATTTGATTGAGAGAAAGAATGTCGTTCAACAATCTTTACGTCTCTAATCTTGGTTTTAATGGTATAAGAGTAAAATGCAAAAAGAAAACATATGAACAAGTAGATAAAGTACGGTAGAGAACTCATCAGGAATGACGTTCATTCACCTACCTAATACACAAATCTACTAATCATATGTACACAACCTAAATCACTCATCAATATCCCCATGTATCGCTCACAACAAAGGTTATGTCTAACACAAAGTTGAGAAAACAACTGCATCGCCTCATCGATGATGTCTCACGCAACTCAACAACACAGAGCATTAAGAATTGATGCCCACGGTGAATGTTAGATCTAAATCTATCTAAAGAGTTCAAAACCTAGCAGATGTTCATCCTAGATCCATATCTGAAGAGTGTATGTCTATAATGGTTCAAATCAAAGATAAATAGGTAAACAAATATAACATATATAAAAATTCTGCAAAATTCTGATAAATAGGTAAACAAATATTTTGACTCCAAAATTCTGCATTTAAAGCATCCCTCTTGGCTCAAATGGGTCCATACTTCAACCATGCATTATTACATATTAAAAAAGATAAAATTTGTCAAACTCAATAATATGTACACAAAAATGCATATTACATACGATAATGTAAGTTATACAAAATATACACAAAAATGGGGGATTATTAACGGAAAACCAACGAATCGAGCCAATAAGTGCCAATTATTCACACTCAAAATTAGTACAATTTAGCACTTATCAACTCTCTCTAACTTAACTTGTTTGTCCTCAAACATGATCAATCAACTCGAAGAAACAAAAGCAATTATCAAGAAATCATAATTAACAAGTTTTTACAAACGGAAAACAAACGTATGGCACAAATATCAAAAGTACATGCAAAGCAATGCTTACCACTAAACTACAACGATACCACGATTGTGAAACGAAGTCTAAGCACAAAACACATGTTAGAAATTATAAAAGCAATACAAATGTTCAAGAATTAATCACACTTAACACTCCTCTTCAGAATAAGGATGAAGAAATTTATGTAGTTGCAACCGCAGGACAATTACATTCATCTATAAAAAATGCTAACAACAGTTCAATTCATACATTCATCTAACAATCATAAATGAAATCATGGAAAGGGCTTGAAGGGTTGTAGTTTGGCTAGGTTTCACAATAAAGGGTCATTTCTTAAGCTATTGAATCAAAATTGTCACGCAAAAGACACATTCATTATACATGGTATTTACACATCACAACTTCATTCACCAATTTCTTTTCTCTATTGCTAACCCTTTCCAAACTTCATTTACACAATTATTTTTCATTCTTTTTTTTCTTCTTTTCAAGCAAGCATCTTTTTCTTGTGTTTTTCACATTCATATGCACATTTTCTTATGTTTGTTCAAAAATTTTCATAATTTTTAGTAATCTATCATTTCCTTTCATTCTCCCCAACTTGAATACCATCAAACCTCAAGTAAATGATTCTTTCATTTTATGGCAAGGAAATCAATTTAAAACATTATTCAAAGATTTCAAGAAAAAAGTTTAGAATCCCACAAAATTTAATGATGAACTTAACTTTTAATTTATGTACACACAACAAGTTACTTTTGGATATATTTATGTTCAATATAAACAAATGTCTTGATCATTTCTAATGCTTCCACAAAATCACAATAATCAAAAGATTAAGCATGAATCAAACGAGTTAACAAAGTTATTAGTCACCCAAACATTTAGTAAACAATGGAGGTTTCTCACAATGGGCTATGAATTAAAATGGTTCACAAATGAACAAAAAATGCAAGAGAATGAATGACATGTAAGTTGTATAAAGCCTAAGGTCCGTAAACATATTATGTTCTAAAAAAGCAATAAACACAAACCATAGCAATGCAACTTTGTTTAAACTTTTCATACTACCATAATATTTTCTTGTTGAAACAATCAAAATTGAAAAAGCATACAATGCATCTTCAAGCTAATCAAAAATAAAACTTGAGAACAAACACGAAAATTTCTAAAACTAACAAAGTTAAATGAAAACTAATAAACATATATTAATAAAATGGGTGAAAGTAGACAAGAGAATAAGAGAGTTTTTCCACAAAAAGCTAGGTGTGCACAAGCTTGTTACATTTTTCAAGTTCTTTCTCTCATTCAATCCATTCATTCTCACCATATTTTAACTATAATACTAAATGTAAAACCGTACAAACTCAAAAATTGTTGGGTTGCCTCCCAACAAACGTTTGTTTCACGTTGTGAGCTCGACACCTTATTTACGTACAAGTTCTTCCATGTTGCCTGGTTCACCGGCTACTATCAAATAAACATGCACAACACTTGAGCAAACGTAAACCAAAAACAAAAATATGCACAAACACATACACAAACACGGTGGACATCACATATATACAATAAGTGAACAAACGAAACAAAAATAAGTATGTACAATCACATATGAAAAATAACTAAGGACAAGTATGTACAAAGCTTAAAAATATAGAAACTATCGCAGTGCGATTCAATATCAAAATCGATCCTCGACAGCGATACCATTTTGCCTACCGCCTCAACAAAATGCATTTTATTGAAGCGGTAAAACGGCAAGGAAAAATTAATTTAGTACCCAGTTTTGTCGTCTCCACATGAATCAGTGCGGGGGAAAGAAAATGGTTTGACAATCCCTACGTCTCTAAGCTTGATTTTAATGGTATGGGAGTAAAATGCAAAGAGAAAACATATGAATAAGTAAATAAAGTACGGTAGAGAACTTGTCGGAAATAACGTTCATTCACCTATCTAATACATAAATCTATTAATCAGGTGTACACAACCTTAATCACTCGCCAATACCCCCCATGTATCCCTCACAATAAAGGTTATGTCTAACGCAAAGTTGAGAGAACAACTACATCGCCTCATCGATGATGTCTCGAGCAACTCGACAACACGAATCATTAAGAGTCGATACTTGCGGTGAATGTTGGATCTAAATCTATCTCTAAAGTTCAGAACCTAATAGATATTCATCCTAGATTCAAATCTGAAGAGAATATGTCTATAACGGTTCAAATCAAAGATAAACAGGTAAACAAATACGACATTTATATAAATTCATGAAATAGATCATATACAACACCATGATCAAGAAACATACATACTAAGTAAACTTACATACAAACTCCCATAAATGAAAAATACATAGAGAAGAAGGAAAATAAAGAGGAATCTCTCGTCGTGTCCAGCAAAGTGACGCCATTCCAACTCTAGATCATCGTTACGCAACCTCCAATGTTGTTTCTAAGCTATTCT